AGCGAAAAGTCTCCACTCTAAATTCTATCAATTTTTAAAAGTGATAAGCGACGTAGCGATAATGTCGAGTGCGGTCTCTCTTTAGGGGATCTTCATCGCTAATATTTCTCATAAAAACTGCAAAATATTCATTCCTCGTAATTTAGACAAAATTGCCTATAAGGTATTTCAAAGTATTTTAAAATTCTTGAAGTTGATGTTATAAAAGATTTTATAACCAAATTTAAATAATCATTTGTACAGCTTTGAATCCGTTGCTTCGCGAATATTTCAATATTTATGAGTATTTTTATTTTAGTTTTTGTCTGATATTCTTATTAGTTTTTTTATTATAAAAATGAAAAAACTTTGATAGGACATTATTAAATTGAAAACGTTTTATTCGATTTCAATAAAGTAGTACAATTGATGCTCTTGACATAGTAATTCTTTGTTCAATAGAAACAATGAACTCAATCTTCATTGATTCGACATTAAAAAAAAAAATGTTAAAATGATACATCAAAGCATTATTTAGTGCTTTTTCCTTCCAGTCTTAATATTTTTCTTCTTCTTTTTCTCTCATTCTCATTAATTAATAGAAAATAACTAATTAAGAAAACTCTTTCTCCCAAAATTCATTTTGTATTTATGAAAATTAATCTTCTAGGATAAGAATCTTTTGCAATACTGTTACTTTAGCAAAAAAACTCTAATTATACAAAATTATAATAGCAACTATAAATTTTACAGATTCTTGAAATGCATAAATTTGATAAGATCTTTCTTTTCTCCGCTTTATATTTGTTTAAAAAAAAAAATAAATAAATAAATAAACAACTTCTGTTGTTATCGTATTAAGAAAATTTTGTTTGCATGAAAAAATTTCAGTTAAAAAAATTATCTCAATATATAAAATTACATTGTTATAATTGTATGTATCTTTACTTTTTCTTATTTTTTCATATTAATTGGCGTAATTTTGATAGATTTTCAATTATTTACGAGAATCATGTTATTGAAGAATTACCGAGAAAGTTGTGTGTTTTGTTCATGAATTTTTAAACAGAATTAAACAATGGCATTTTTAAAGTTTCATACATTTTCAAAGATATATATATATATATATATATATATACATATAAGAAGTACAAAAATATTTGAAATTATCAGTTATGTGATCATCGCAGAAGTTATTAAACGTTATTCTTAAATAAAATTTGATAGAAAGTTTTAGAAATATTTGTAAGATCAACTGAAATTAATTAAGATTAAACTATAAAAATTGAATGCAAAAACAAAATGGATAAGATTATAAAATTAAAATTTTATATTTTAACTCATTAAAAATGATTCATAAATATATATTTTCAAATTTGATTTTATTTAAACTAATTTTCAATATTATGAAAATTTTATTTAAATCGAGTTAACAGAGCAATTAGCTTTCTCACTCATATATATGAATATTATAAATAATACATACATAGAATTTAATGAAATGATGTGTTGTAACTTTTAGTTATTACTACGTCTATGTATATTAACATTTTCTTAAGTTTTAAACTATAACGATTGAATTTTTTTATCCGAACCTGAAGATTTGGAAAAACTTTAAATACTACGATCGAAGTTTAAGAATTAAAGCAAATTTTCAAAATCATTTTATTCGATGCATTTGTTATAGTAGTTTTAACATTCGTCTGTATGTTTTTTTTTTTTCTTTCATTAAATTTATATAACATTACAATTATTTACCGTCAAATTTTTAATGCAACTTTCCATGGATTATTCTAATTAAGCTTAAAACGAATAACGTAGTATCTGTAATGGGAAAATAATTTAATCCACATGTTGTATTTAATGCATAGAATTTTCTTTTTTTTTTTTTTTTCTTTTAATTCTATAACAGTAAGTACAAAAATTTATTCGAAAAAATTTTATTAAGGAATGTTTATAAATAAATATTTGGAAATGGAAAAACGGCTTTTCTGTATGAAGTGAACATACTGTAAATTAATTTTGTGGTTTACAAACATAACCTTCACCTTAACATGCAATTTCTTTTTTATATGCCTAAAAGTCATGAATATCCTCTCATTTTTACTACATACGCGCATGCTTATATTTATCAGGAGTCTGGAAAAGAAAAATATTACATCCGGGAATATTGGAATTTTAAATAATTAAGGACATTAATTATAAGTCTCAAAACACATACATCACATTTATCGATTAAGCGCCATGGTATTCTATAAAATAAAAAAAATATCTACGTTTGAACATTATCTATTAGGTATTAGGTCCTTAGAACATCGAATGCAATTAGTTTTAGTTCGCGATCAATTCGCTCTCGATACTTTTAGTTGATATTTCCCCTAACAATAGCAACGCTTTCGCCGTAAATTACAAGCGATTTAACGACCAGGGCAACCTCTACGATTCCAGCAACATACGACTCTTAAACAATTGCAATTTTATAATTTAAAATAAACGTTTAAAATGCAAGACTTATGAGCGCGGATAATAGAGCATCCCCTAACAATAGCAACGCTTTCGCCGTAAATTACAAGCGATTGTTATACAAGGCAAATTGTTATACGAAAATGACATTATTTTTGTAACACGTCAATAAATCAATACAGACATTAAAATTGCAGATCATTACGAAACGTCAGATAAAATAATCTCTTCTTTGTTGCACAAACTGAGGAAAGTATATAAAGTGAAAATTCTCAAGAAGAGCGTTGAAACAGCTTCCAGTCATAGATAACTAGTCGATTAAAATCTGCCGCCGCGGAAGCCTCAAGTCATCTCAGATTTCATTATATTCGAGAACTTTCTCCGCGATCATGGGGCGCGGGCGTAGCAAAGTATTGCCGCGCCTTATTACGAGTGGATTTTGCGAAAAATGTGCACCACAACGAACAAATTAATACATTGAGTTACGTACGCGATAATCAAGTTACGCGACTAATTTTATTTTCACTTAATTCAAGTGTTCGTGCTGTTCTTCTTTTCTTTTTTTACTAATGCGCCACTTTATCTTTTATCATTTATGGCTTTTGCGTGATTTTACAGCGTCATACCGCGATGAGAATAAAATTTTATAAATATGTACTAATATTACGTAAATAGGCAGAGTTAAATAGATTCATTACCGGAAATTTCATTTCAATTTCAAACGATGTTTGCCAATAAACGAAATTTAGATAATCCAATAAAATTAATTATTAAAAAGCTGTAGATCTGAGTGCATTATTATGGTGCATAAATAAGTATTTTTAGAATAACAATTACAAAGTAAATTGTTATCTTCATTAAAAATTTTGCTACATTCAATAAATAGTTTTCAAAATTATTTTCAATGTCAAAGTGCTACAATTGCAATCCCACGGCTTCATCTAATAATGATAATTTTAATTTCTTATATATGAAATTGTACTTAAAATATATAAGAATGTTTGCATAAATAATGCAATTATGATAATATTCATGGAAAATGTATTTATACTCTCGTGCAATATTATATTGTACAAATTATACAAAATTACCCTACACTTTTCTATATTACAACCAATAATTTATAGAAAATTTATTGTCTTCTAAATCTATGCGCTACGAAGCAATTGAACATTAAAATAATAATGATCCTGTTAATGCTTTATTAATAAATGTTATATGATAATTAAACAAAACTTACCGTCCATTGAAGCATTGAATTAATAATCTTCAATGTAATAAGGTGTCTATACATTTAGAATACGGGTAAACATGAAATTTGCATAAAAGAAGAAAGAAATTAAAACAAGAGAATAATAGAAATAAGTTATATAAACTATGATTGTATTTAGAATTTAAATAAATGTAAATTGGAGCTACTTATATTAATATTTATATATATCACGTTGGGCACGAAGAATAGATCTACGTAAATTTTACGTAATGACTTTTCATCGAAATTTATTCATGTCTTTAAGTAATTTTTCTCCGAATATTTTAAATATATAATTACATATATTAAAGAACTTATACGCTCGAGTGAAATTTAGTATTTTATTCAAATAAGATATACTGAATTTTTCATCGGCCAATTGGTTAAAACGAAATTCCTTTAAAATATTATTGTAAATAAAATCGGTGTTTAAAATTATTTTCAACTTCAGACACGTCAAACTAAATATATTAGGTCTTTAATTTTGAAATATATCAAAAGTAAAAAATATCATAAAGTTATTTCATAGTATAGTTCAACGTTCAAGAAATTAAAAATTGTTGAAACTTGAAGAACAGTTTATATTCTTCCCTTTCCGACATTTTATAAAATATTTTATTTTACTTTATAAAGTTATATAATGTTTTTCACATTGTTTTAAAGGTATGGAATTTCTATTCTATTTAACAATCCAATATCTTACTTCATGACGATTTGTTATTAAATAAATGGATCTTTTCATTAAAAAAATTCTACTATAAGAGAAAATTATAAACGGTTTCTGATTATTTTACATGCATTTAAAAGAAATACAACAAAATATGAAAGCAAAAATAAAACAATTAATTTCTAATTGTAATGCCGTTACTTAATTAAAAATATAATGCTAATTACAAGGCTTACTAAGGGAATTAAATTTTTCAATAGAACAAATTTGATGTTTAATGATAAATAGGTGAAAAGATTAATATAGAAATTAAAATTTCTATCTTTTTTAACGTGTAAAATGTAATTATAACTGTTGTTGTTCGTTATAAAGCGTACTATCGTTCCGCATATTTACCGACATTTAATTAATATTCTACACAGTAAATTTTGACAAATAAGATAATGAATAATATACGTAATGTAATTTAATTTTTATTGAACCTGTCATCATTCGGAATTAATCTATGTCAATACGTGTACAGATGTAATGCTGAAAAAATTCTTATGCAGATAAGGCAGTATCTTTATCTGTGTGGACTCTATTAGTAGACAATATATTACATTAGTAATATTATGGAAAGTCAACTATAAAGTTGACCAGTTGTTTATGCAGAGTATGCAGCTAAGAAATATATAGACTTTTATGAAATTGTCATCCTTTACATGGAATTGTTAGTAAGTATTTGTGATATCTCCATTAATAATTAATTATTTTGTCATTATTTATATTTTGAGAAAATATTAAGCTACTGAAATTTTAACCATATCATTATTTGATAATAAATAAATAAATATATTTTAATTCGAAAAATTAACTAGATGTGACGAAGAAAACAAAATTTTTTCCCAAGTATCGATAACACACATAAACAATAATTATTAATACATAAAAATTCGATATTTACTTATTATAATAATGTTTCAAAAAAATTATTATTTTTATGCACTGTATAATAATAGTATAATATTGTTTTGAAAATTTGAATGTAACGAGCTAACTAACCAACTACCCATTCAATGCAATATAAATGGCAAATAAAAGTAACTTGAATGTTATTACATAATCTACGTAATCGAATAGTGAATGTGTCATGAAGTAGAAAATTTTTCCGAATCGATAGGAAAGAAAATGAAGATTTTATTAAAAAAAAAAAAAAAAAACTGTACGTACATTAAAAGTGATCAAATGCTTAACCATTATAAAACATCGATGTCGAGACTTTTTCGTTTGAATTATTTGATTTTAATGCTGAAATCATTGCCTTCCATCATTTACATTCATGTACATAACGTCTTCGATAAAAGATGACAAATTTAGGTCGAGAACTTGCTAGCCTGAGAAGTATGTAACTGCGTGCCTCAACATATTCAATACTAAGTATATAGCATTATCGATTCTACAGTCCATTATAATATTGTTACATGGCACATAGACGCGCAAACACGCACAGGCACACACGCACGCACACCGAGAGAGAGAGAGAGAGAGAGAGAGAGAGAGAGAGAGAGTTACAGTGAGACTCGTAAAACTACAGTAGCTATTAAAGTATTGGTAAAGAAGCGACTTTATTATCAGGAAAGCAAAACTGAGAATAGCCGAGTAAGAGATTTCCAATCAATATGATAAAGTATAACATAATCAAGCACAAAGCTTGGATATTATTATCGGCAGTTTTTATAAACAAAAAAATCCTCCAAATATAATGCAATAATTCCAAATGAAATTTATCTTATATATTCATTAAATGTTTAACTTACTCATTGTATCTTAACAATCAAATTACATAATTTCTATTATTGCTTAAGCAAGATTTTGTGTTAAATTTAATGTTAATATGGCAGTAAGAATTGTGGTCGTAATCCATAATGTTATGAGGTAGAAAACCGCACAAAAGGATGCCGATTCTAGACAAGAAATTCCTTAATAATAAATCTAATTCAGTATAGAAATTGTAAATTTAACTGAATCTTTAAGACATTCTAAATACTAGAAATGCAGTCAGTCTAGTGACATGTTTTGAAAAGTAGTTAAATTTAAAAAGAAAAATAGCATCAATAAGTGTTAAAGATAGTCTGATAAAAAAAAAAAAAAAAAAAAAAAAAAAAAAACATACATTGTATAAAAGTTGCCTTCTTTAATAATAATAAAATAATGAGGCATATTCGTGCGATTGAAATAATTATTAATAGAATACACATTCAATATAAATTTTTAATATCAATAACAATAAAATGAAAGAAAATCATTTTATATAAAAATTTCATATATCTATTACATTCTATTCGATTATTTTATCATATTTTAACTTTGAATGAATTTTCCGAAGCTAAACATTTTTAGTGCGTATTCAAATGTTTTTACATTAAAAAAAAAAACAAAAATAAAAATTTAACTCATTTTTCGTGACATTAATTATGTATTTTGTTAAAATTAAATTTACATTAAGTATTAAAATTTTAATAATTAATTGTATTCGATATGAAAACTTATTTTAATATAAGCTATAATCATGCTCAATAGTCATTATAATATATTGGATATTTTTTTATCAAAAAATTTTTATTTAATTAATAAAGGTATTACTTTAATTAGATTTCACGGATTATAAGCGAAAATGTTAATCGTAAAAACAAAATCTTCATTTCTCTAATCGAAACGATTGAAGCACAATACCAATATTCTTTAACTTTCGATTATTGGAAAATTAATTGTATTTGACTATAAAATATAATTCTATAACATCCATCGATTAATCTTATAAATTTACTAAGATTTCACCTCTAATATATATATTTGCAAATTTATATCCTACAGCGCCATCTTCAATATGATTTTGTCACTTATTTTTATAATAAATGTTATTGTCATACGTACTGAAAAAACATATTGAACAATTCATCAATTTTTTTCCAATCGTATATAGTTTTGCTGAAAGATACTTTCTACACTTTAATAAATATTTATGAGAGTTCTAACTATGATAGCAATTCTAATTTAAGAAGAGTTTTATTACAAGATACGTTTTAATATAAAGCACTTAAAATTTTTTATTATATATTAAACATATTTTCTAAATATATGCAACGCTATTGAAATTTTTACACTTACATTTATTACGAACATTTTTTCTTTAATATTTTTAATTAATTACTAGTAAATAGAATATTGATGAAAAAAAAAAAAAATTAATAATAATACAATTAATAATAACTTGGTATTCCAATTTATTATTATCATCATTGCTGCTGTCGTTGCTGTTGTTATTATCATTATAAATTAAATTTATAGTCATTTTATTAAATTTTTAATTAACCATTTAGAAAGTGCTAACTTTAAAAACAACCGAAATGTACTTAAATGTTCATAATCATTAATGTTACATTTATCTAGTTCCATCAAGTACATCGTCTACTCAAATATCTTTATTATAATAATGTTGTAAAAATAAAATTATACTCTATAATATGAATTTCAAAACGAAATTTGAATAATACATTGAAATTATACGTAGTGCATATGTAACGCGAACTACATTCTCGACGTGATAGTCCTATCTTGCATATCTGTCTTATCTGCCTCTAAATTCTTCCTAGAACTACATTAAGAAATCTTGTCTATCAGTCGTATTGCAAAAATTATTTTCACACATAATTATTTTTCCACGAATTTAACAATAATAAAATTGTCTTTATTACTTTTTATTAATGGTCATAATATAAAAGAAAATTAAATGTAATAATCGTAGTAATGATATAATATGAAAAGCAATTTCAAAGTAAACTCGAATGTACAGTGGACAACATAATCATTTATAAATACAAAATCTTTAGATGGAACTGTGTTTATGAAAATAAACTAATTTTTACAGAACAGTGTGTTTATTAGCCAAAGAATTACACGATATATCGTCTTAAAAACTACTCCAATGACATTATTCTAATAAATTACCATTCGGTAATTAAAGAACTTTCTGCTTGTTTATGACTAAATGTACTTAGATGCATTAACTTGAGATATGTAACCGTACATGGTAAGCATACATGCATTTATCATTCATTAGCAACAAACTTTTTTTGCATTTCCTATTCCAAGGTCAATGTATTCACTCGTAAATAAAACTTTTCAAAGTTTCACCATCTTCATTTAATTGATAAGATTAGCGATCATACATTATTACCTATATTCAATTATCATTTAATCACAATATCTATTACAAAAGAAATACAAGCTACACACGCACACATATATATATATATATATAACCGAACTATAAAAATATAACCGAGGATGTAATTGATTTACAGGTATTTTATTAAAAATGATTGTCGTTTTTTTTTTAAATATTTTTTTTTTAAACATTTTTCAAATATCATAAAATTCAAATATTATATATATAAAATATAAATATTATAATATATTATAAAATATTATAAAATAACAAAATTCAAATTTCAAATATTATAAAATAAATATTTCAATATTAAACAAATACGATAAACAGTTTATAATACTTTCGTATATTTTATAATTTTTTTTATTTTTTTTTTTTTTTATTTCTTTATATCTTTAACTGTATTGTTATACTAATTATTTTTAATTTTTAATTCACGACCACGGTATTATTATTATTTATGATACTTTATTTCTTGGATAAATTAAATAAAATATTTTTAACGAATTCTCGCGTGTAGTTTAATTTGGTATTCTCAAGAAACATGAATAATATTTCATTTTATTTTTTTCGTCTATATTACTCTCTCTCTATATATATATATATATATAGGAATGGTATGTTTTTTTTTAATACTTTTATTAAAATAAAATGCAAATTTAGACATTTACATATATATTTTATAACGATAATATATTACAAAAACAAAGACAAAGGTGTGAAAACGTTCTAAATTTTAATAAAAATGCCATAAACCGGTCAGCAATTTTTCAATATACCATAATATATTTTATGAAATCATATTATAATAGAATGTATAACTAAATAGCTTTATAAATACTTTTAGAGCTATAAATTCATATTTACATTCGCTTCTCCCTACAGACAAAATAGAAAACTATTATTTTGAATATGACAAAAACACCGAACATATTCACTTTAGTGTCTTAATGTTTTCAGTTTACCCTCAAATCTATTTGCATCTAATTAGATATTTGATACGATGATAAAAACCCTCCCTATAAAATTATAAAAGATTTTTCAATCTACTAGATGAACTAATAGTATAAGATATACTCATATTTTTCTAAAATATAAAAAAAAGAACAAAACAAAAAAAAAAAAAAAAAAAAAAAAAAAAAAAAAAATACCGTATTTTTGCTGATTTATGGGATCTACGTTTGGATTTCGTAATTTCTACATAAGCTGATTTTATAATAAAAATAACTTTTAACTAAACGATCGCTTAACTTCACAACGAGCACATTGGATCTTCCTTCGTGCATCACAGAATCTTAATGCATTCGTTAGATTCATTAGCACGTGTCGGTGTAGCCAATTCACACGAAATTGTCCCCTTCGTTCGAAGAATAATACTCGTGGCTTTAATTGCGGGACAAAAGCGCGCGCGTGAGAGGTGGCTAAAAGCATATTTTGCTGACGATACGACGGTACGTAGTTTCCAAAACATAAGAATTTCATCGGCGGAAAAGGCACGCGTTTCGTTTAAATCTTGGCGGAATCTTGCGTCATCCGGTCTCCGGCGCCGCTCCCGGACTTTCTCGCTTTCTACGGGAAAGCGCGTCCCTGTGTGTATACCTCTACACCTCTGCACTAGGTCCTCCTCACTGTCGCCGATCCATTACGGCCCCTAACGCCTCTACTCTTTCTCCTCTTTTGCGACATTGCGAAATGCAGAGGCCCGTACTAACGACGGATGCACCTCGCCTCTTATCTTCTTATCCCACTATCCGAACGCTAAAGCTTTTAAATCTTTCACGCGCTTCCCGAGCTTACTGGTGGCTAAACGCAGACATCTTAGTGTCGTTTTTCGCGTGCTTTTCGTTATGTCAACCATTCCATTTTTAATATAACGGTATGTCAATTAATCGATTCTTATGTAACTCCAAGGCCAATCCCATTGGAATTTCATTATCCGTGCATATATCACGCAATTGCCGCGCATTAAGAATTGCAACGGACTGTAAGTAGTACTACTGTTTATCTCTTGTATAAAGAATTTTATAACGATTTTCATAAATATATTACGAGTTCATTGATTATCAGTCGTTTATGCGTTTTGTACGTTAGAAACCATAATAAAATATAACTTGATGGATGTATTTGCGAAACCCACTATAAATATTAATTTTAAATTACACTAAGGCAAAGTGTACACTATAAAAAAATTTTTCAATAATCTCGAAATTTAATATTCTTTATATCTTAATTCCTTTAATTTATAAGGGCAATGTGCATATATCCATAACTAGAAAATGAAAAAATATCTCAGGTAGAAAAATATTATTAACAATATTTTAAGCATAAAATACATGATTTTTATTGATTTTATTTATCAGTAACTGATAACATTGTTTCGCTTTTAATAGGTAAAAAAATAATAATAATAATAAATAAATAAAAAGTACAACTCTTAAACTTATTGTAAATATCAACCAAATTATTCATGCCCACACAAGCGATAACAAAGTATAATTACCACAATTATGTGCTTTGAATGATTAATCGTACGGACTTAGGAATTAATTACATTTACAATTTTTTTTCTTCAATTAATAACGATATTAACAATTCTTGCCGCTATGAGGAATCATATAAAAAAAAAAGGTTATTTTCTTTTTTTTGTTTTTTAGTTTTCTTTTTCTTTTTAAGTGAATTTAAAGTTCTAATTTACTATGCGTTAATTTGCAATAATCATTAGCAAGCAGAGCTTTATTTTCTTTTCATTTTAACGAATAGTCAAAGTATTTGAAAGTATACTCTTCTCAAAATTTCATTCAACTATTATTCATGATGATGCATTGACGATAAAACGGAAGCGTAAAACAGCACCGCCATAATTGCAATCTTTGAAGCACCTCCTCGCGAAATCTAATTTTATCGTATGATATTTTTGTGTCTCTACATTGTTTAAAACTAACTGAAATTAACTAATAGTAATTAAAAGGAAATTTTTATCAAATTATTTGTAAACTCACAAATAAAGAAAGATTCTTATTCCAAATTGTTCGCCTTCCCGTTAACCATCGAAAGCTTTTATGGTAATGTTTTTTTTTTTTTTTTTTTTGTATCCGTAGCTAATTATATAAATTATTTTTTTTACATTATAAAATTAAAAATATTTCCAAATTGCTTTATTTGAGGAGTAAAAGTTTATGGGCTCTAACGTGCCAGTATATTTGTAACTTCAATGTCGTGATGCTTCACCAGTCATTAATTGATAATTTTCCTATTTTGTAAATAAGTTTGCCAATAAAAGTATTTTATATGTTGCAAATATATATTGATATTCATGTAAAATACTTGAAGCTTCGTTATTTCCTATGCACTTTAAAATGAAGTGGACAAAACGATTTTTTTATCACTTAATATCACTTCCCTTTGATAAAGCTTTAATCGACGATATCGCGTTTGTCGGTAACGTTGGCTAACAATATTTTTAACTGGTAAATTAAGAGAATAGCAATATTTATTTTGAATTTTTTATTCATTAAAATTTATTCAACATCGACATGTTTTATGAATAATTTTAGGAAATTATTTAGGAAGTAATGTCGGAATAAAAATACTTAACTTAAAATTAACTTATATTTTCCTATGTAAAAGAAAATAATGAGATTAATATTATTAGTGATTGTCAGCAAACACTATCCTCGTCATTTCTACGACTTCGGTGCTACGTACGAAGATCTTTCGCTCAAAATAGAATAAATAAAGCTCTTTTTACACGCAGGATAATTTTAACACACAGTTAAAATTTTCAAACGATAAATTTAAAGGAAATTAATTTCGTCTTAATTTATCATCTAACTTAGCTTTTTTTCACACGTTGATCGTTTAAACGGTTAAGATAAGATTATACATCATAAAGATAATGTTTTACAATTGTATAAACAAGTGTTTGTGCATAAAGCTACAATTGCCATCAATGCGAGTTATTGTAAATAAATCATTAAATAGATATCTATACATGTTGAGTATAAAATTTACTTTCTAAATTTATTGCCTATTTACGAGTCTGTGAACAAGCATTTTCCCTTCAATAAGCCATGTTCCATAATTTTTGCATAAGTACGTAAGTATTGGCACAATCAATACATCATTGGAGGAGATTTAACGCCTGCTGCGTTCGAACATTCAAATCTACCATTTCATATGCACGCGTCGATCGACATTGCGCATGCTCATTTGTAATAAATTCACTTTCAATTACGTCTGCTTTCACCGAACCAGATGTTAATGTTTAAGCATTGTCACTGAGTTTGCGAACTCGTGATTCATGTGATTATAAGTGAATGCCCGGAAAAAGTAAGATTATCTTACACTGTGGCAACAGTTTTTTATGAAGATTAAGTTTGTTCTATTGGAAAG